TTCAGGTGATTAATACACTAATGAAAACATACCTATGAATATTATATTCCATTTCTGCCAACAGATCCTCTTTTAAGGGGTTGATAAGTAACAAAAGGTAAATACAGCTGCCTCCCTGTGTGTCTGCCCAGCCTGAACCACTGATGGGATTAAAGGTTCAGGTAAAGGCTATATTCCTGGTTCAGTGGCAGGGCATTAGGCCACTGGGTTACACTCTGTATGTGTGTGTGTAGTAGATGTTAGCCTACAGGCTTTTAACAGACTTGGGTTACAAGTTAGGTGACATAAGATGCCCTCTGGCTGCCATATTGGCATTATTATGGCCCTGAGCCGTGCCACGCACACACCGAACCATCTGTAGACTGGAGCAGTTTCTAACCTCACACCTAAACATGACTGTTTATGACTTTGATCTTATTTCCCGGTCGGTGTGGTCAGTTACAACTCCTCAGCTCTGTAGGCAGCATGGCTGACAACAGCAGATTGCAAGTCTAAATTTAGAGTTCAGCTGTCTCCACACTGTCTAGAAGACATTAATTTCTCTGCTGTTTTGTTTTACTGGGAACTAATTCAAATGAGCATTTTGTCACTGATTGATTTTGTGTTTGTCATGTTAGGTTTCCAGTCTCTTCAGTTCAGTCTGGATTCAGTTTAAAGCCTGAACTGTAGCTGTTCATCAGCGTGTTGCTTTATACAATAGTATAGGTATTTATATTTATATGCAAACCGTGATCTAATGAAAAGTTTTAATGCTCGCTCGAGGCAGATAAAGTTTTTGGTAATAAGGAAGTTTCCCAATAAATATTATTCCCATGAATAAATATCTGCGGTTGCTGCTTAGCTATAGTTGGTACGTTAGAGTATTACAAAGTACTCTTTAGGTCGTTGCACAGTATGAAATATGAATATCAGCTGACACCAAAGAACAAAAACTCATTTCCCCAATGCTAATCAATCCCATAATCAAATCTGTGTTGGGTGTGTTTGTTTGTGACATCCAGGAAGCCCTTTTTTCCATTCTTTTCAATCTAGCTGATGGGAATACATTTGATTAAATGTGTATTCGTTTGCAGCATTTCAAAAGTTTAGCTTGAATTGAGCTTGAAAGATGGATGAAGACAACCGCTGCCCACTCGCTCAGTTTGGCTCAGCTCAGCTCAGTTGTGCTTTAATAGCACGACAAGAAGCAAACCTGCACTGCCAAGCTCGATGGGATCAGCTGAGGTAAAACTGGAGACAGATGGCTGGGAGTAATTAAAGCAAAACCAATACCAGTTTTATCAGTGTAATGCCAGAAAAACACTTGGTAGCAATCTAAATGTTCTTGAACGCACATTTGTTCACTCACTTCCTTTCCTCTCTGCTCGCTCTGATACTCCCTCAGACGTTTTCTTTCTTACTGAGTCGTTCTTACTCATTTTCTGTTCTCGTACCAGTTGAAAATCTTTCTCTTATTTCTCTTAACTTAAAGGAATAGTTCAACATTTCTTTACAAGAGCAAGATAAGAAGATCAATGTCAGTGTCATGTCTGTGAGTGAGGTACAAAGCTGAAATCAGGACGTTGTTGGAAGTATTTGAATTACACCGTGGCTTCAGGGGAGCCCTATATTCTGGGGTATTGGGGGGTGGGAGGGCTGTTAATGCCTTGCACGAGCTTATATTAATATAATATAATTCATCCAGACATCATTGCTGTCCCAATATTTATCTTGGGACAGCAAAGATACAGAAATGATTAACCCTAGCAATGTTCTTTCTAACTGCTCTGTCGAGAAACGGTGAGAAAGATAACATGAGCAATAAACTGACAGCATTGTGTTTATGGACACAAGTGACCGGAAAGAGCTCTGAGAGAATAAACACACACGTTGACAAGTGTTTTAATATATTATATTATATTATTATTATATTATATTATTGGAATATATACATTTTAGACAGAAAAAATCTGTATATGTATATATCTTCTCAGCGTCACAAGAAATGGAAAACAGGATTTCCTGCTCATGTGATGATTTGTGTATTTGTACTATTAAAGTAAAAGACC